GCAAAAGTGTCAATTTATTCATCGGATCACCAATAAAACTCATTCAATTCGTACGAATAAATAAATTAATGACCAAACTGTTATTATCATTATTATAATTTCTCACACTATGAATGAACAATGACAACTTTAAACAGAGCATCTATCATTTTTTAATGGAAACAGAACCAACTCACATACGACATAATTGTGTCCACTTCAAAAACGTCCTCTTCGTTGAAGTCGTCACCACGATTCACGAAGAAATCATGACTGAGCGGTGTTTTGAACGCGATGAATCGTGTACCTGTCAACGGCTTGCCCACCGGATCGTAGTCTATCCATCTATTCAATTCAGATCACGTCCAAATGCAACACTATCTTCTCTTCACAATAACATTAAACTAATCGCTCACAATCAGTGTATCTTTCCCAAGTAACTACGGCAACACTTTCAGTGAAATTGACAGTGAAACTGAATCGTTTCGTTTTGATTTCAATTTGACTGTTGCAGTTATGTAAGAACTCTAATTCAGAGTTTGCAATCGACAAATTGTAACATGAAGTATTACTGTTCCCTAAAACAAGAACTGCTCTATTCTTTCACAGCGATATTGCTGGTAGTGTGGTAATTAGTGATATCTCTATTCCAGTTAAACTATTCTTTGCCTGTTCTGTTCCATGGAATAGAATAGAACAGTAAGAACGGCGGAACTGTTCCAAAACAGATGTGCAAAAGTGTGGAATAGAACAGAATCGAACATTTTGTCAAAAGTGTGGAATTGAAACATCATTAGTGATAATGGATAATATCATATCACAGAGTCGTATGTGCTCTATGAAGAATAATGAAAAAGGCTAGTCCACAACCTCTGACAATACTTTCACTCTTCACTTCATCAATTATATCCCAAGTTACCAAGATAAAACGAAGAATATTCCGGGAGTACTCACGAAAATAGTGAAGATATCTTGGGACAAATCAAAGTATCTTACTAAAAAGATAAAAAGCAGCAGCTCACCTATCAGGCAGTCTCCTCGCTGTTGGACCATTTTTGGATTCTTTTGCATTTTTGGATTCTTTTGCACGTCGACGCATCACTCACCATCAACGTACGTACCTACTACCATAAATGACACTTTTTTACCCCTCTGGTCTAAGCGTTAGCCTCAGCCAAAGACTGAAATTAAGCCTGTGATGTAG